AAAAAAAAAAAAAAAAAAAAGTCCCAATGTATGTAGCTCGGCTATCGCACTATCGCAGCAACTCCTGAGATTGTGAACCCTCCCCGTCTCAAAGCAGGAGGTGAGCACGAACCGATCCGGGGCCCGGCGGGGGTGCCGGGCTGCGCCCCTCCCCTGGGCGAGCGCGGCTCTGGGGGCAGCGGGGCGGGGACGGGCGCGGTCCTAGGAGCCGCCGGGTCCCCCTTTATTACCCGGGATCCGCACCTGGGGGCGACGCCCGCACAGAGTCCCCCGGCAGCCCTCTCTGCCTTTTCGGGCTCTTCAATTTCTTTCGGCACTATTGGGGAGGCAGGTGCTGTCAGACGGCTGATGCCGGGCTGGTGGCAGGCTCCGTGCATTGTCTGCCGTCTGACCAGACGTGCGATTTACTGAGGTCTAAGGGGGGATCTGTCTGTCTTCCCTTCCCATGCATTTACTTACAGCGTTTAAAGGCTAAAGACGAGATCTGTCAGCCCGGGAGCTGCGGGAGGGTAAAGCCCTTCAGACAGCCCCTCTCCCTAATTCCCTGCACTGTGATTCACCTGCTTTCAGATCTTGCCTTGTGCCTTGGACTGTGATAAAAGAATGACAACAACAATAAAACCTACGTAAAACAAAATCTTCCAGCACCCCCCAGTCTGCACCTGGACATTAAAAATCTTAACTGTCCACTTTTTCTGAACCTTAAAACTGCACTCACAATGGAGCGAGGAAGGCTCACTGAAAGAAGACTTGAAAAACCTTCTTTTTTTGAAGGAAGGAATAGCCACTGTCGTGTAAAGTGAAACAACACCCAGCATCGATCTGTCCCAGGGACAGCTCTGTTAACTCCTTGTCCGTGAGCAGGCCACTCTGCCTGCAGTTAGGGCTTATCCCAAATGAAAGCCAATTAAATGAACATGGCAGTGAAAAGAGGTGTTTTGTTGCTCTCTGAGGGTACCCTTTTCATAACAGTCCTTATTTTCTAAAACTTTGAGCTGGTCTGCACCCTGTTTGAACAGAGCCATCAGTACAGTCATTTAGAAATGGATGCTGTTCAAGTGCAGCCCCCTGGTGCACAGGCACAGCTGTGAGGGGTGGCAGGATGAAATAATACGGACACAAATATTGCTACAAGGGCTTCGGGATGAACACAGCTGCTGCTGTGGATGGAAATGAGCTCTACTCCATAAGCACCTTTACACATGTACAAGGGGCTGCACTGGATTTTAAACAGATACAGGTGAAGGAAGTGTGGAATTGTTATCTATAAACCATCTTTTGCCGAACAGTTCCCAAGTGAGAAATGTTCCCAGTGTAATCACTCTGGGTCCAGTTCAACAATGCATAAACAGGGGAGTCCACCGGAATTTTGGAAGGATAAGGTATTTTGAAACAAGCTTCTGTTTCTCCCTGAGAGTAAAAATCATTTATCTGCTTGGAACTAAAATGAAGCACTTCTCCTCCTCTCCCCCTTCTTACATTATTATTATTATTTTTTTCTCTGTGTGTTTACTTGCAGAAAAAAAGCACACCCTCCTACCAAGCCCACCTACAATCCTTTTTTGCTCCCACTCCTCACTCGGGTTAGTATCTTTTCTTGGGAACACACATGCTGTGTATTTGGGGGTAGGTTAATAGCGATCCTTTCCTCCTTGTAAGCACATGACTCCAAATCAGCACCTCTGGGAAATGCACTGACATTGCCCAGCCTGTCGCAGCCCGATGCCCCGGGACCAGCCTGGGTCTGCTCACACCTCCTGCGAGAATGGTTTTTGCAGCACCGGGCTTTGGCTTTTAATGTTCCTTTCAAAGGGCTTGATTGATTGCTGTTAATCCTGTGAACAACTTCGGGGTTGTTAACAGGACTGCCCGCATTAGCAAAGGTACTCGCATGCATTAGTATGCTTCTCGTCCCCATGACGTCAATAGACAGCTTTCCAATGACTTCCAGGAGGGCTGGATCAGGCCCTTGCTAGCAGCAAGTTTTTAATGAACACTGTTTGATGCAGGAAAGGGAGGAATAGTAATACATCAGTCCTGAATATCTTCATTCTCCAGGAAACAAGCAGGTAAAGAAGAAAGGCAGGAACAGGCCAAAAGGTTGCCAGAGGGGGATGCTTCTGCTCAGCGTCAAAACTCTGAGCACAGAGCACGCAGAGCCGCCACTCACCAATGATAGCACAGAAATGGGAGGCCACTCTTCTTCCAAGTAAATAACGCAAGTGTGAATTATGCTTCTAAAGAGAAATTTATCCTCCCTTAGACCTAGGTAGCTAAATCAGCCCATGTACTCCCAGATTCTCTGCTGGCTTATTATACTGCAGTTTTCCTAATAAAACATGAAACTATTAAGAGTGAGAATGCATGTTGTAATCACAATCTGCAGATGCAGCTCTCAGCCCTATTACATGCCTCAGCCCTATGAAGTCCCACTCAAATGGGATTGTTTACCTCAGTTTGTTAGGCTTTCCAAACAGTGCAGGCAGAAGTGGAGGGGCTGTTAGCTGCATAACCAAATGAAATTACTGAAGGCTGCAGTGGGGACATCTGATACAGACAATAAAAGGAGGGGGACAGGCATCCGTGGTACTTTGGATGAGAACCTGAGCATCGGGGTATGGGTCCAATCCTGAAACACTTAATCTGCATTATTGTTAATCAGTCTGCTGTGGTCAGAGGGATTATTCATCTGAGGAAGGATTAATCCTGTGAACATTTTCAAGACAGGTCCCTGAATTAATGTGTGAATCAGGGTTTCTTTTTTCTCTCTCTATCTTTTTTTTTTTTTTTCCTCTTGCTTTACTTAGAATCAAGAAGGTTGGCTAAGGAGAAAAATGAAAAACTATTCGCATCCAAAGGAGCTTAGTATGGGATCGTAGTCAGTGCAGGCAACAAAAGGTATAATTGCTATAAAAGGTATTTTT